TTGATGAAATCATGGACGTCTGTGCAATAATCATAAATATACCCCCACCCCAGTGCTTATTAAAATTATTATTTTATGTAATTATTATGAAAATGATAAAATATATAATAATCATTTATAGTACATAATAATAATGATAACAACATAATGATAGTTTACCACCCAATGATACTTTACCACCGAATTCTGTAGTCTTACAGAATTCAGTGCAACAGTCAGTGATCGCAGCCATGAATTTGGGTGATTTTAAAAAAGAGATTAGGCAAATTCATGTCTTATCGACAGTTCCTGTCCGTAAAACTCCATGTTCAGAGGCAGTATACCTAGGAATGCTTGGCAACGAGGGGAAGAGAACGAGGGGATGGCTGTTGCCTTCATGCCCAGCTTGGGAATGCCCTATAGGGATCTGGTCACTGTTAGCAACCGGATGCTGGGGTACACGGATCCTGGAGCCAATCCGATTTCTGTCCTTACATTCTTTAAAATACAGCAGCCATTTTAACACCGAGAAGCTTACAACCACATATTGCTATTCAAAATAACACAGGCCACATTTTGCTCATCTCTCAGAGTTTTGCTCACGGCCCCTTTTGAATTTAGAGCATCTCACGGCCAAATTTAAGCCAGCAGAGAGGTTCTGTTCAAAATGGAACAGGGTATGAAAAATCATCATATGACATAAGTTCACAGCCTTGATCTCAAAACAATCAGTAGCCACACACACCTGAGCATTTACAAACACACAAGGCACCCTTCTTAGTAAGGTTATTTTACATTATAAACCCTTTTTCTTTACACGCCACCCTACATATAACCTCAGAGGTGTAGGCTTTCTGTTCTGAAGAAGCACAGTATCTAAAGAACTAGAAGCATAGTTTAAAATATCATCAGTATCAAATGTGACATTAGGGTAATAATTGGTGTAGTGGTTAAGTGTGTGGACTCTAATCTGGGAGAACCGGGTGTGATTCCCCACTCCTCCACTTGCACCTGGCTGGATGACCTTGGGCAAGCTGTAGCTCTGATAAGAGCTGTTCTTGAAAAAGAGCAGTTTGTGTCAGAGTTCTCTCAGCCCCACCCACCTCACAGGGTGTCTGTTGTGGGGAGGGGAAGGGAAAGGAGTTTGTAAGCCGCTCTGAGACTCCTTTGGGTAGTGAAGGGCAGGGTATAAATCCAATCTTCTTCTTCTTCTAATATCACAGATCTGCGATTGTGAACTCCAAACTCCCAGTCTAGTCTGATCTCATCAGATCTTTATCACAGATGTGCGATTGTGAACTCCAAACTCCTTATTGGATTGCAGTAAAACCTCTAAGCATCCTGACAGCCCAGTCTAGTCTGATCTCATCAGATCTTGGAAGCTAAGCAGGGTCAGGCACCAGACCGCCAAGGAAGGTCCAGGTTGCTATGCAGAGGTAGCCAATGGCAAACCACCTCTGCTCATCAAATCCTATGGGCCTGGGGTCACCATAAGTTGGTTGTGACCTGATCACTCACGCACGCACACACAAAATCTAACAAGATCATCTTCAAGCAGGGATGCCAGCCCCCAGGTGGGACCTGGGGACCCCCCCCCCCCAAATTACAGCTCATCAGAGATTGCTTTCTCTGGTGAAAACAGCTGCTTTGGAGGATGGACTCTATGGCATTGCACCCCACTGAGGTCCCTGTCCTTCCCAAGCTCCACCCCAAAATATCCAGGAGTTTCCCAACCTGAAGCTTAGCAACCCTACCCCACCCCCACTGGTGGCCAGGAGCAGCCTGGCAAACCTAGCCCCCTCCCCTCCCCTGACAGACACCATCCTCAGATCTCCAGGTATTCCACACACTGGAGTTGGCAACCCTAGCTTCAAGCAGTCATGTGTGTGTGTGTGTGTGTGTGTGTGTGTAGGTAGGTAGTTTACTGATTTAACCCATTTACAAGTCCAAATGAAATCGAAATAATACATAAAATAAATGTATACGTTTTATGTAACACACACACACCATTTGGGTTTCCACAGCACTGCGTTATGATCCCAGGAAACCAAAAAATCACATGACACCGACGATTCCCGGGCACAGATGTGGAACAAGAAATCAAGGCGGTGAAGAATGCATGGCAGCCCAGGTTGTCTGTCACTCGGTCAGTTGCCTCAACCTGCAACTCATCTACCTGACGCCTCTCCTGCCCCCCTCCCAGGAAGAGAAAGAGATGCTTACGTTACCATTCCTTGCCCTTTGTGGACTTCATGGGCAAGAGCTTCCTGGTGCGAGCTTCTTCGGGGCAGCAAGGGCGGATAATCCCGGATGCCCGGTCCCATCCTAGGCTTGTTGCAATGTCCTTTGTGTGCGTGCGTGTGCGGGCTCACATCTCCTGCACCACTGCAAGCGGGCCGCGAGCAGCTCTCCAGCCCCGCGAGCATCCGAGGCAGGACAGGAAAGCCCCCGAGCTCACCACAGCCTCCCTGCGCCGCAGTAAACAAACGCCATGCATTTCTCTGCACGTGACTTCCCTTCACACGAGCACCCCTCGGGCCGCCGTCCTCCCCCCGGAGTTTGCTCGAGAGGGAGCCGCATCCTCCGCTCCTCCGCTCGTGGGTCCGCTCTAAGCCCCCATCGCCTGGCTGGGAACCAGGAGAGGCTGGCCGGGTCGGCACGCTGGGAAAGGTTCGCCGGTCGGGCCGCAGAGCATTGTGGGCCACAGGGAGAGACGCGCGCCCCGGCTTCGCCTGTGCAGAAACCCGCGTTGCGAGGCACGGAAAAGCGTCCCTGGGTTGTGGGTGGAGGAGGTGGGCGAGCCTCAGTCCGGAGCATCCCTCCTGAGACAGGGTTGGGTCGCTTAGTGCGAAAAGGCCAATGAATCGCGCCCTGAGAGCACAAGTCCAGGCTGCTGCGCATCTTGTGTGTGTGTATCCCCCCACCCCCCTCCAAGTTGCATTTTGCAGGAAAAAATAGAACCCCCCTCCCAGCCCTGAATTAATCATTAAGCAAAATAAGCAGCTGCTTTAGGGCACCAAAGCACAGGGGGGCACAGAGGGGTTTTTTTTTTGGGGGGGGGGGGGGATATTCCTCACTGCT